GAATTCTGAGACTGCGCCTGATTTATATGAGTGGCCATCTGACCCATCTGGTTAGTGAGACTCTGTATGGAAACTCCCATCTGGTTTATCTGAGTCGCCATCTGTAGGTTTTGAATGGTCATTTGTCTCACTAACTCTTCCAATGAAGGTTCAGAAGAAGTGGAAGGTTGGGTAGCTGGTTGAGCAGCTGCTTGGACAGGTGCCTATTGCTGTTGCTGTTGTTGTTGTTGCCTCTGGTATTGTTGCATAGGTGGAGGCACATATCTGTTAGGTGCTCAAGCATTCTGGAAAGGTGGCGCCTGCTGCTGATGCTGTGGCGCATTGTTCCATCTGAGATTGGGGTGATTCCTCCACCCTGGGTTGTACCTGTTGGTGGACAAGTCATGATTTTGCTGTTGTGGTTGCCTGTTGTTATAGATATTTGTAGCATAAGCCTGAGGCGCATCAGAGTGCTGTAGAGAAGGACACGCATCTGTATAATGGTCGGTGGAAGGACAAATAGCACACACTCGTGCAACAGATGCAGATGGAGCTGTAGATCTCTGGTTGGTAGTCCACTGTGTCACCAACTTCGCTAGAGAGTCAATCTTGCTTTCCAATTTGCTTTCAACAGCTGATAAAGATTGGGTAACAACGTCGTGTACTCCCCTTACCACAATGGCATCATTCCTGGTACTAAACTGTTGGGAGTTGGAAGCCATCTTCTCAATCAATTGCCTGGCCTCAGCAGGTGTGGTGTCTCCAAGAGCTCCACCACTGGCAGCATCAATCATTCCCCGATCCATGTTGTTCAGACCTTCATAGAAATACTGAATAAGAAGTTGTTCCGGTATCTGATGGTGGGGGCAGCTAGCACAAAGTGTCTTGAATCTCTCCCAATACTCATACAGGTTCTCTCCACCAGTCTGCCTGATCCCAGTTATGTCTTTTCTGATAGCTGTAGTCCGGGATGATGGGAAAAATTTATCTAAGAACAATTTCTTCAGATCATCCCAATTGGTGACGGATCTAGGCGCCAAACCATACAGCCAATCCTTAGCAACATTTTCCAATGAATGAGGGAATGCCTTCAGGAAGATGTGCTCTTCAGGAACATCATGAGGTTTCATACTGGAACATACAATGTGGAATTCCTTCAAATGCTTATGTGGACTCTCACCTGCAAGACCACTAAACTTGGGCAACAAATGGATCAGTCCAGTCTTGAGAACAAATGGAACGTCCTCATCAGGATATTGGATGCACAAGCTTTCAATATCGAAATCAGGTGCAGCCATCTCCCTAAAAGTCCTCTCGCGAGGTGGAGGTTGTGCCATATTGTTCTCAATGTGAAAAACAACAGAATCAGAATCAGAATCAAGTACAGATGCAGTAGATGCAGTATGCACAGAGTACTCAACAGTAGGATGAACAATATCTAATGGAACAGGTTCAAAAACAGACTCTAAAGACAAATTCCGAGAATGCCTAATTAAGCTATGANGACAAGGCTCACAAGTGCTACAAATCTTATCTGCATCCTTGAAGATGGAAGGCCAATAGAACCCACAATCAAGCACCCTACGAGCTGTTCTTTGTATCCCCAGATGACCACCCGGTGAGGAGGCATGACAGAATTGCAGGACCGAGTCAATCTCATGGTCCGGAATGCATCTCCTAGTAACCTGGTCACTACACAACTTCCACAGATATGGGTCATCCCAAACATAATATTTAGCATCACTCTTAATTTTAGCAATCTGTGCACGTGATGCTAAGGGAGGAAAAACAGAAGCAACTAAATAATTTACAATATGTGCAAACCAAGGAGTGGGGTGGGAAGAAGAAATCATCAATAAACTCTCATCAGGAAAGTTATCCTGGATGGGCAACACATCAACTTCATCCTCAGCTCTCTCAATCCGGCTGAGGTGGTCTGCAACCAAATTCTGTGCTCCACTCCGGTCCTTAATCTGCAAGTCAAACTCCTGGAGCAGTAGCATCCATCTGATCAATCTAGGCTTTGACTCAGCCTTTTTCAGCAGAAACTTAAGAGCTGCATGGTCAGTATATACAATAACAGATGATCCAAGCAAATATGACCTAAACTTATCAAGGGCAAAAACAATTGCCAACAATTCTTTTTCAGTGGTGGTATAGTTTGCTTGGGCAGCATCCAAAGTGCGTGATGCATAGTAAATCACTCTTGGCAGCTTGTCAATTTTCTGTGTCAAGACAGCCCCCAATGCATAGTTAGATGCATCACACATGAGCTCAAATGGGGCTGTCCAATCCGGTGCCTGAATGATAGGGGTGGTAGTCAAAGCTTCCTTGAGGCAATCAAAAGCCTGCTTGCATCTGTCATCACAAACAAAGTCAGCATCCTTTTGCAGCAGTCTGGACAAGGGAAGCGCTTTCTTGCTGAAATCTTTGATGAAGCGCCTGTAGAAACCTGCATGTCCAAGGAAAGATCGCACCTCTCGCACGCAAGAGGGGTAAGGCAACTGCGAAATCACAGATATCTTAGCAGGGTCTACCTCTATTCCCTTTTCAGAAATGATATGCCCTAGAACCAAACCTTGTTCAACCATGAAGTGACATTTCTCAAAATTCAGAACAAGGTTTGTTTCTATGCATCTTTGCAAAACTTTTTCCAGACTGTCTAAACATGCATCAAAAGAGGATCCATACACAGTAAAATCATCCATAAACACCTCTATACAACTCTCAAGAAAGTCACTAAAAATGCTAAGCATGCACCGTTGAAAGGTACCAGGAGCGTTGCATAGACCAAAGGGCATCCTCCGATAGGCAAAAGTGCCAAAGGGGCAGGTGAATGTGGTTTTCTCTTGATCCTCAGGAGCAATATTGATCTGAAAATATCCAGAAAAACCATCAAGAAAACAATAATGAGATTTACCTGCCAGGCGCTCCAGCATCTGATCAATGAATGGCAGGGGAAAATGATCTTTCCTGGTTGCTTGGTTGAGCCTCCTATAGTCAATGCAGACTCTCCAGCTGTTTTGCACTCTAGTTGGGATAAGCTCATCCCTCTCATTCTTCACCACAGTGAGGCCAGTTTTCTTGGGCACAACATGGATGGGGCTCACCCACTGACTGTCTGAAATAGGGTAGATGATTCCAGCTTGCAAAAGCTTGGTCACCTCCTTCTTGATGACTTCCATGATCACGGGGTTTTGCCTTCTTTGTGGCTGTCTGACTGGCTTTGCCCCATCTTCCAAAAGAATTCTATGCATACATGTAGATGGGCTAATACCAGGTATATCAGCCAAACTCCAACCAATGGCCTTCTTGTGTTTCCTCAGTACACCAAGCAACTTCTCCTTTTGAACAGAATCAAGGAAAGCAGAAATGATCACTGGTTTCTTCTCATCATCCTCCAAGTACACGTACTTGAGGTTATCTGGTAGCTGTTTCAGCTCAAGAGTGGGTGCCTGCAAGTCAGATTCAAGTGTACTACCTGCAGCATGGTTAATGAATTCTGACTCTAAAGAGTGTACAGGTAAAGGCAGAATACTCATCTCATCACAATCAAAATCAATGTCCATCTCAGATATGTCAACAACATCATCAATATCATTCATAGCATCAATATCCTGGACATCACAATCCTCATCAAAATCCACAACATTATCAACATCATTCTCAAATCCTGATTCAATGCATGAATGCAAAGAAGACAGAAAAGAATGCTTCTTCTCATGCACAGAATGAAAGTTTCCAACAACAAATTCATCAATAATTTCATCCAATGTATCAATCCTAAACAAAGAATGGTTCTCAGCTGGAAATTTCATTGCATCAAAGATATTAAAATGAACAACAATATCAGCAAATTCCATAGACAAAGTTCCAGCATATACATCAATCTTAGTTCGGGCAGTTTTCAAGAATGGCCTGCCTAAAATAATGGGAGCGGATCCATGAGAGAATCCCTCCTCCATTTCCAAAACATAAAAATCAGCAGGAAAAATCAATTCACCAACCCTTACCAAGACATCTTCTATGAAACCTGTTGGGTGAGTAACACTCCTATTAGCCAACTGAATGACCACACCTGTGGTTTGCAAAGGACCAAGAGATAAAGATTCATATATAGACAAAGGCATGACATTAACAGAAGCACCCAAATCAAGCATGGCATTCTCAAATTTATTGTTTCCAATCACACAAGGAATGCAAAATATACCTGGGTCCTTGCACTTTTCAGGAATGTGTGGAACGGACTTACCAATAAGCGCAGATACATTCCTTCCCATGCTAATCCTCTCATTACCCTTCATTTTCCTCTTGTGTGTGCACAACTCCTTCAAGAATTTGGCATACTTTGGTATCTGCTTGATGGCATCAAGTAGAGGTATGTTCACCTCCACCTTCCTGAAGGTCTCCAGAATTTCTTTATCCACCTCTTCCATCTTTTTGCTAGGAAGTGCTCGTGAAGGGAATGGAAGAGGGATAGGTCGGTCAACCAATGGAGAAGGTGCGGCAGTGGTAGTGGTAGACAACGGAGGAGATCTTACTGAAGAAGAACCACCAACTGGAGAAGAAGATCCACCCACTTCAAACGTCCTGTGTGGACCATCATGGTCGTCCCCTCTAGGAAAAATGACAGGCACGGGTGTAGGTGTAGAAGCGGGCTCTGAAGGTACAACAATTTGCTTCCCTGATCTGAGGGTTATGGCACTCACATTTCTTGGATTCTGCACAGTCTGGGATGGTAACTTATCAGAATTCTGAGACTGCGCCTGATTTATATGAGTGGCCATCTGACCCATCTGGTTAGTGAGACTCTGTATGGAAACTCCCATCTGGTTTATCTGAGTCGCCATCTGTAGGTTTTGAATGGTCATTTGTCTCACTAACTCTTCCAATGAAGGTTCAGAAGAAGTGGAAGGTTGGGTAGCTGGTTGAGCAGCTGCTTGGACAGGTGCCTCTTGCTGTTGCTGTTGTTGTTGTTGCCTCTGGTATTGTTGCATAGGTGGAGGCACATATCTGTTAGGTGCTCCAGCATTCTGGAAAGGTGGCGCCTGCTGCTGATGCTGTGGCGCATTGTTCCATCTGAGATTGGGGTGATTCCTCCACCCTGGGTTGTACCTGTTGGTGGACAAGTCATGATTTTGCTGTTGTGGTTGCCTGTTGTTATAGATATTTGTAGCATAAGCCTGAGGCGCATCAGAGTGCTGTAGAGAAGGACACGCATCTGTATAATGGTCGGTGGAAGGACAAATAGCACACACTCGTGCAACAGATGCAGATGGAGCTGTAGATCTCTGGTTGGTAGTCCACTGTGTCACCAACTTCGCTAGAGAGTCAATCTTGCTTTCCAATTTGCTTTCAACAGCTGATAAAGATTGGGTAACAACGTCGTGTACTCCCCTTACCACAATGGCATCATTCCTGGTACTAAACTGTTGGGAGTTGGAAGCCATCTTCTCAATCAATTGCCTGGCCTCAGCAGGTGTGGTGTCTCCAAGAGCTCCACCACTGGCAGCATCAATCATTCCCCGATCCATGTTGTTCAGACCTTCATAGAAATACTGAATAAGAAGTTGTTCCGGTATCTGATGGTGGGGGCAGCTAGCACAAAGTGTCTTGAATCTCTCCCAATACTCATACAGGTTCTCTCCACCAGTCTGCCTGATCCCAGTTATGTCTTTTCTGATAGCTGTAGTCCGGGATGCTGGGAAAAATTTATCTAAGAACAATTTCTTCAGATCATCCCAATTGGTGACGGATCTAGGCGCCAAACCATACAGCCAATCCTTAGCAACATTTTCCAATGAATGAGGGAATGCCTTCAGGAAGATGTGCTCTTCAGGAACATCATGAGGTTTCATACTGGAACATACAATGTGGAATTCCTTCAAATGCTTATGTGGACTCTCACCTGCAAGACCACTAAACTTGGGCAACAAATGGATCAGTCCAGTCTTGAGAACAAATGGAACGTCCTCATCAGGATATTGGATGCACAAGCTTTCAATATCGAAATCAGGTGCAGCCATCTCCCTAAAAGTCCTCTCGCGAGGTGGAGGTTGTGCCATATTGTTCTCAATGTGAAAAACAACAGAATCAGAATCAGAATCAAGTACAGATGCAGTAGATGCAGTATGCACAGAGTACTCAACAGTAGGATGAACAATATCTAATGGAACAGGTTCAAAAACAGACTCTAAAGACAAATTCCGAGAATGCCTAATTAAGCTATGAAAAGTCCTATCAATCTCAGGATCAAAGGGTGGTATGAATCCAGGATTTCCTCTAGTCATGCACTAAATCACGACACCCTGTAATCATGAAACAATAGCACAAAAAATTCAAACCACAAAAATAAACACAAGGTAGCAAAACAACACTATCACAAACACATACACAAATCACACAACACAGACACAAGACTCAAAACTGAACCGTTGGTCCCCGGCAGCGGCGCCAAAATTTGATACAGCTGTCGCGACCGATCAAATTTGATGTGCAATTAAGAATGCAGTACAGTGCTAGGAATTGACTCCTAGGTCGTCTCTCAGGGACCAAATGTGGTTCAATCTTTTGTCAACACGTAATGGGTTTTTTTTTTTTTTTGTAGTGTTTTTGGTTGCGATAAAATTAAAATTGCGTTTAAATAAAATTCACAACAGTAAAACAAAATTTAGACAGTAAAAATAAAATTGGTACATTAAAATGAAATCACAGCCATTTTAAATATCAAAAACAACTCGCAACAACTCAAATACTGAAAATCAAGTCAACATATAATATACAACATTTTAAAGCAAAGGAAATGAAAAAGTGTAAAACTTCCCTAATATTAACTGTGCCCAATTCATCTACTAAAAGAAATTTAAATTTACAATTGCCTTAAAACCACTCCTTGACCGTGACTTTACTTAATTCTTTTTTTATTATTAAACAAAAGAAATGCTTCACTTAAATCCTCTTGCCACTTCTTCTGCAGACGTGAAAGAATTGACTTGGTTTGGTTTAAGAATTCTCATAAGCTTGCTATCCTTCATTCACGTAAATTCATTCTCCAAAATGCTCTTCGAAAGCTTTTGTCTTTTTGTATAAAACTAACACTTAACTTTTTCCCATAAGAATAATATAAACACTCCTATTCTAAGAAATCATAATCGGTGCAGACTTCCCATTCACGGTTCTCTACAAGTTTTAATAAATTAAGCAAAGTAGAATTATGTTGAAGAAAGATGTTGCTGGACTCATGATCATTGTCTAAAAGAAAGGCAATAAAAGCAAAATGAAAACATATATTACTTCTAGTAGGACCGTCCACTTTCTTAAAGGAAAAAGTAAAGCATACTTGCTAAATTCAAAACCATATTACCGTCCAAACAAGCTACATGAAGTGAAAGCATGGATAAGCTATTACTATATGACCACTTTTGCCGAGAATTCATGTGTTGGTGGACCATGGTTGCACTTCTCCAAATTGCAAGTAGGAATCACACAATTCTAGCTATTTTGACCGAGAATCACACCTCCATATTCATCTACTTCTTCAAGAGTTTTCTCCAAGCAAATCACCGTGCTCAATTCCTCTAAAGCCCATCACATATGCGTCTCTCTTCACCAAGACAGCAGCTTCTTCTCTTCATCTCCAGCTCAGTTCATGCATCTCAAGAAAAGAAAGAAAAGTGTACTTGCTAAATTCTGCTCCACTTCAGCTGTGACAGCAGCTCGTTCTTCTCTCTCTCTATGGACTTATCATCTCACACCAGCACACCCCCTTTCTCCTTCATCAAGTCATCCTCTCTAATACTCTTGCTATGCTCTCCGAAAAGAAGAAAAGAATCCTGCCAAAAACTACCGAGAAGAAAGAGTTAAGAGACCTCCAAAATCAGCATGTGTGTTGTCTCTTTGTGCCCATAGAGTAGTAGCTTGTCTCCCCAAGCAGCAGCTAGCTTCCTCATTTTTCTTCCAATCAATCCCCTCTTTTCTGCTTCCTGCTCCCTACTCCTGTTGTGTGCTTGGACGTTTCCAGCCAGCTGGACACACGGATGTCTGCTGCCACATATGCTATGCATGGATTTAGCACTTCATCTTAGGTTGACGTGGTGTTTGTTGTTTTTGTGTGCACCAAAAATTCAATCCGTGCATTTCCCTTAGAAGTTTCAATTGGAAATTAATAATTACTGGTTTCTTTCCCTCCGAAGAAAAATAAATTTCATTTTTGTTTCTCATTTAGTTTAAAATGTTATTGATGAGAAATTTATCTTTCAGTCCTAAAATTATCCGATAATTTCCCTGCACTCAATAATGTAAATAATTAGTCTCAGATAATTCAAATTAATTAAAATAAGAATTTCTGATCGAATTAACCACAATTCAAAAAAATGGGAAAATACTGGATATTTGAACACACTTTCCTGATTAACTCTAGTACAATAAACTAAGTGCAGTGTAGAAAATAATGATTCATCAGTGTCCATACAAATAAAATCAATGATCATGCAATTGAATGAGTTAAACAAAGCATGCATAGAGTATAGAAGAAAAACCCTAACAATTAATGAAAGAAAACATATGGATTAAAGAACCAATTCAATACATGAGAGTTTCAAAGGATTACATTAATTCCCCAACAACAATGAAGGTTTATTTCACCATAATCATGGTGAAACTAGATGAAAAATAATGAAAGAATGAAAGATAGAATCTTAGAATTTGAAGAGTGGAGCTTGAGCATCCAAAATTCTCCTCCAAGGGTGAAGAAAGTGTGATTTTGCTTCGTTCTGCCAAAAGATACTAACCCTAGGTCGACTAAAACCTTATATAGCTTCCTAAAGATTATAGAAAAGTGGCCCAAGGCCCATTAAAATGGCGCTCAACGGTAATTACCGCTCAGCAGTAAGTGCAGTTCTTCTATTTGACGCTCAGCTGCAGTTTTGCCCCTCAGCGTTGACTGTGGGACTTCAAAGTACCGCTCAGCGGTAAAAGTGGCGCTGAGCGGTACTTGCGGCTCTTCTTTTATGCACTTTTTCTTCCTTTTCTGAGTCCAACTTCTAACTACTTCACTTCTAACATTCAATTCATCTTAAAACCTACAAAAACAAGGAAAACCAAGCATAAAACCCATCCAACTCTCTTATTTCAAAAACATAAGAAAAAGCATGATTACAAGCTAGTTTCTAAGTCATAAAAGTTGTCTTTAAGGTCAAAATTAAGTCTAAAAATAACAGTTTTTCAACTGTTATCAGAAGTACCGCAAAAGGTGCTTTGACGCTCTAGTTAGGAGCAGTTTAATGAACTGCCTATCATAGTTGAATGTTTGAGTCTAGTAGAATGTGAGTTGAACGTAAGTAGAATGTAAGTGGAACGTATCTGACTTTCGACCTTGACCTTATATTTATAAGTGTCTCATGGATCCTAAACCAACACAGATCCAATAAAATAAAAATAGACTTGCCTTTAGATTCGGTTGGTTATTGATAAACAACTTATCAATATCTTTAATCAGTTATCAATATCTTTAATCAGATATCTTTAATTATTTTATCTTCTACTGGACTATGGACCCAATAATAACTTAAACGTTGGCCCAATTATGGGCCAACATTTGTTGTAGCGGTTGGACCGACGACTTTGAGTGGATGGACCGAATAGTAGGTATTATATACCAAATACAATAACAATTTTTTTTTTATCTATTTTTTTTTGTTTGAAAAGAATACTATGCTCTTGACAGTTATATTGTTACACCATATACATATCTTTTCCTAAAAAATAAATACTAAATCTATTTATCTTACAAACAAATAAATTAACTATGAGTTCTTTTGATTTATATTAGCAATATAATTTTTAATTTTCGTAAATTAAAAAATCTAGAAGAAACATTTACAGAAACATACAATAAACTTCAATTAACAGAATTCAAAGACCAACATTTTTATGTTTAAACTAGAAAAGAAAATAGAAAATGTTTTAAATGGACTTTGAATTGAAACTTTCTGACAAATGTAGATGGTACAATACTGTAAATTATAAGTGTTTTGTAGAATTTTACGTTGCTTCGATATAGAGAATTTTCAAAGGATATATTTAAAATATTGAATTTAAATTGATATTAGTTTAAATTATTTTATTTTTCATTATTATTTAGATAACTAAATTCAAATTTGAATTTTTTTATTCGGATGAAATATTTAAATTAAGCCAAAAATCAATAAAGGGTTGTTGGTGATGGGTTGTGGGTCAACCCACCTTCAACTCGGTTCGAATCTGTTGGTTAAGTGAATTGGTCTAATTTAACCCACATTTAAAAAAACTAAATTTTTTTCAACACAACATGGTTCAAATTTATGATGGACCAGGTTAGCTCACGAGTTGAAACCCATTTTAGCACTTGAACTTAAGGGTGAAAAAAAAACATAAATTGTGAAATTCAATCCATAATAATTCAAATCCATATTATTTTAAGTTTATGTAAGTTGATTTACCCAAATCTAAATCCATATTTTTGGATTTTAAATCATATCTAGTTAACTGGATTTGATTTTATTTAGATTAGATTTGAATTGGGATTGAAGTTGATATGAATTGAATTTAAATTCGATCATGTTTTGGATTTTGAAAATCTAAAATCAAGGTGCATTTAAGCCAAGTCACAAGTGAGTTGAAGACCATATCGATTCAAGTCAAACTGGATTTAAGGTTTACCACAATCGAGTTGAAGATTTAACTGAGTTGGTCCAAGACGAAGATCAAGCTAAGTCGAGTCAAGTCTAAGATTACATATGGGTTTAACTCAATCCTAGTTGTGCAATATTATCCATCACTCCTGCTATCCCTAGACAAACTGTCTAGTTGAGTTTATCACACTCTTAGTTGTGCAGTATTATTCACCGCTCTTAGTATCCTTAAACAACTTTCTAGTTGAGTTTAACCCACTTCTTGTTGTGCACTATTATTCACCACTCCTAGTATTCTTAGACAACTGTCTAGTTGAGTTTAGCACACTCTTAGTTATTGATTGAGGTTGATAAGCTGTCGTTGAAGCTATCAAATTAATACTACTTTTCAAGGCAACTTCAGTATTGCCAAGTAGTATTCAAGAAGGTAGATAGGGCTAAAGTAAC